TAATACTTAATTTTAATTATTTAAAAAAGTGTCTAATTAGGCAGAAAGAAACGAAATTTAATATCCATAATTAAAACAAGAAATATATGATAAAATAAAGAAATTAATACAAATTGATAAAATGCATCGATAAAGATAATTTTTTGAATTAAAAATTTCCAACAAAATTTAAATTTATTTCATAAAGTTCGTAAATAAATTGAATTAAAACTACCCGTACAAGCGAACGAAAATTTATAAATTAAACAAATGTTTGCTTTAAAAAAATCCTTCCTAATTTATAAAATTTAATAATAAAATAAATTTTGCAAAATACAATAATTTCATTTTCTATGCAAATTAATTGTTTGAAATGAAATAAGCAAATTTTCATTTATATTTTAATTTATACATATTTAAGTGCTATTTGAGTAATAATAATAATATTTTGAAATAATATATTAGTTTAGTTTTCAACAATAAAATATAATAATTTATATTTTCTTTTCTTTTTTGTTATATGTTAAACTTAAAAAAGATAGTTTAAAATAGGGAAAACGAAAATAATTTTTATTCCCAAATTTTATATTCTCATTATCCATTGATACGAAATTTAATGCATAACTGAATTAATTACTATTTTTTTCTTTTAAAATCTTATTTTTATTTTATCAAATCTTTCATAATATCTTATAAACAAACAATATTATATGCAAATTAAAGCATATCCATTAACAATGAAAATATTGATTCCTATATATTATACCTATAATAAATAATAATAAAGCATTTTATGTATTAATCGACGATTTTACAATTATCAATTCTGATAATGCTGAAATTCTGATAATGCTAAAGTTTATTTAATTATTATTTTGATATCAATTGTTATAATAGAAAAGTTTTTATCTTTTAACTACACATTTATCACTATCTTACAAAAATCTTATCAATTTTGATAATAACAAATTTTATTTAATTATTAACTCTTAATTGTCTTAATATCAACTATTTAGTCGCATATTTATCACTATTTTACAAAAATTTTATCAATTTTGATAATAACGAAATTTATTAACTTTTTAAATTATTTTGTATTTGATTAGTAATTTTCTATATTAATATTCGATTATATAAATTAATAATTTCAATAATGTTAATTTGAATTAATTTATATTTAACATATGTGTTAGATGAAAAAAAAAAAAAAGATTCGTGCAACGATCATAATAATTATTTATCCAACAATACACATATACATATATATATATATATATCATTAATTTATTACAGCAATAATTTATCACTGATCTTATCAACAATTACATTCTTGACCTTTCTTCGAATTATACCATACTAATTAATGCATGTTGTAATAATATCTACTTAATAAGCAGCTCACAGATCTTATCTATCATTTTATTACTATTTATTATCTTCTGAGAAGTGCAGTTAGAATAATTATTTATCTCATTTCATTCCTTTTCATTCTTCTTTCTTTGCTTCAATTAAATTTTATCTTTCATTTCTTTTTTAAAATGAAAAATTAATATTTATTACTATTCTCTATCATTATTATCATTATTATCATTATTATTATTATTATTAATTATTATTGCTATTGCTATTATTATTATTTATTAATTAATAATTAATATAGCATCAAAACAAATTTAAGTTAAAAATCTGTTTGCTTCGTATTACTATTTTTATATTAGTATGTATTATTTGTGAATTAATTGTCAAATAATTAAATTGAGAAAACGCATTTCCTCCTCAATAATGATAATTATTTTTCTTATCATATATATATATATATACAAATTATACTTATATTAATAATATTATATAAGAAATCTTACATAAAATAATATTTATATTAAAATTATTAAATTTATATTTATAAAATATAAATTTAATAATATTTGAATATAATTATTTTCTTATTTCCTTTCTTTTTTTGCAATTTCTTGCAAATATTTTATTTTGTAACAAAAAAAAAAGAATTATTATTAATATATTTTTCTTTGACTTAATATTATTACGAATTTAATCATTATCAAAGATCAAAAAGAAAAAAGAAAAAACAATTAGAAGGTAAAATAATTTTAAGGAGTGAATAATAAAAGTGAATAATTATGGGACAATTATTGGGACGTCAAAAATCAAAAGGGTAAAAATAATTTTTCATTTCTTTAACATAAATTAATAATTAGTTTAGTAAAATTATTAATCATAATTTGACGAATTAATAATATATTTTCAGTACTGTTGTTCTTTTTAACTTTTTTTCATGAAAAGATAAATATGAAAACTATTATAAATTGAAAGGTTAAAAGGTTAAGAGATTAGAAGGTTACAGTTTTTAGGTAATGAATATTATGATAATTTTTGCTATTTTTATAGATTATGTACAATTTGTTTGGAGAAAATGCCAATGAAAAATATTTCAGCACTTCGTTGCGGTCATTTATTTCATTTTCATTGTATCAAATATTGGCTTATTGTAAGTATTGGTTTGTTTTTTTATTAAATTATTATTTTTTGCTTGTTTACTTCTTGTTTGTTTATTTTTTATTTGTTTCCTCTTTATTTATTATTGTCTGTTTGTTTTTGCTAAGTATTTTAAAATTTTAATCATAAATAGAGCAATAACAAATTAAATATAATTTATTAAATTTGAAATTTTTATTTATATGTATTAAATATTTTTCATTTCTTTTAAAACGCCAATTCTCCAAATATTTCATCAATTTTTATCAAATCAAAAATATTTTAGATCATAAGATAAAGTTTGAGACTATTGTATGATCAACTTAATCAATAATCAAATAGGCAAAGTGAAATTTTTTATTAAATTATTAAAATTTTATATCATCTCCGATATAATTGCAAATCGTATGATTAAATAAATTAAAAATTTTTATAAAACAAATATATCAAATAGCGTAGTATTACAATTTGATAAAATTGATATGATGAGATAAATTATTTTTACTAACGTAGCAAATCATTTATCATTTCAAATATATTCCAATTTATAATATTAAATAGATCAAAAGATCTGCGCAAAATTAATACATTGAAATAATATAACGTAGCAAATTGATTTAATTTATTAAGTCTTTCGAACAATTCATAAAATAAGTGATATCATTTGTTTTGATTTCAAATTTGCTTACGAAAATTTCATTTATTTAAACAAAAACAAAAAAAAAATATTTGAGGAGCAAACGACCTGTCCGGAATGTCGTCAACCATCAACACTCGATGATATTGTAACATCACTCTATTTTCATGATATGGATGATAAGCAAAGCGAAAGTACTGATACACATTCTGATAGTGATAGCACGGATGATTCATCTGAAAAACTGGACAGTTATAATGATCTTTAAAAAAGTGAAAATTCTTTCTTTTGTTTTCTTCCATATCTTCTTTGAAAGTTTTTAGATTTGAATTTTTTCAAATTTCACAATGATTATTTTTTTTACATTTCATACTAATCATTTCTTTTCCAATTATAATTTTACTTAATTAATTAGTATCAAAGATATTTTGTCAAGAATTAATTAGATTAAACATTAGTAAACATTTGCAGCATTTAATATTTCAATACAATAAAAAAATCAGTCCAAATTATTAATTTCTAAAAATTATATTTTAAAGGAGAAGTAATACTAAAATTGATAAATCCTAATTGATCTTTCCAAATTACTTTTTTATTCAAATTAATTGATCCAAATTTTGATAAGCAGAATAAAATTGATTTAATAGAAAAAATTTTTAAAATGAATTATATAATTCAATTTCATATAGCTTATTTAAAGTTTGAAAATGAGAAAGCGCTACACAAACAGACGAAAGAATATCTTAATAAAATTCAATGCGAGAATTTGGAATTGGTAAGTAATAATTTTCTTATTTTTGCTTAAAAATTTATTTTGTAAAGAACAAAATAATTTGTACAATTTATAGGTTTGTTTTACCAGGCTGGATTAAATTAAATTTATCTACAATTTTTTTTGTTGAAGTTATTGGCACGTAAAAGTTTGAATATTTGCTAAACAATTCTTTAAAAGTTTTCCAAATGATAAATAGATATCAGTGTATGATATAATTTTCAGATGAAGATTATTCAAATACTGGTAGCAGATGATGGAGAAATGCTTGATTCAAGTAGTGACGAGTCATAATTTAATCATTTTCGTTATTTAATGTAAATATAAATGATTATTATCATATATTTGAATATATTCTTCAAGAATATTAAAAGCAAAGATTCAACTTTTTATAATTTATATATTTTATTTAGTTGAAATTCTTCCTATTCATGTCCATCAGATAAATCGAATTTATAAATATTTTCGATTATTATGTAAATTAATACGATATAAATTTCGTATTATTCTCTTTTCAAATTCGAATTATTTCTATAATTAAATAATTTTTAAGTGTTCTGAGAATATTCTCAAGTATAAAGAAAAATTTTGAAATTTCTTTCGATGTAAATAAGAAAATGAAATAATTTAGATAATAAATTTACATATAATATTATAACTAAATTTAATTTATCTGTATGCATGATGTAAAAATATGTTTTAATTTTATTATTAAATTTTTTTATTGCATAAAATTTTTCATCTTTTTCTTTATCATTTTTATCATTATATTTATTCTAGATTTATCATAAAAAGAAATTTTTCCTTATCAATATTCTTAGATATAATTTCAAAAAAATAAATTTATTGCAAAAATTGATTTTATCAATTTAAAATTAAAGTTAATCCTATTTTTAATATAGATACAAGTTCTAGGTGGTACAATGAATGAATGATAATAAATAATTGTATAATGAATAATCGTATATATTAATGTATATCGAAAATTTGAACTTGAAATCAAAACTTGAACAATTAATTAAATTGGACAACAGAAATTTCTGATAAAATGAACAAAATACCTTAGGAGGACAATTAAGCTTGGCTTAATCAGTTAGAAGAAATTGCCTGTGCCAGAGAGATCTCGTGGTGTAGCGGTTATCACATCCGTCTAACACACGGAAGGTCGGCGGTTCGATTCCGCCTGAGATCATACGGTATCCACTTTTGTCCGAGGCAATAGATGGATTCCCAACAGATTGTTTTAAACGGTCGAGTTTCAAAGTACAACAGAAGATTGGTGATATTCGCTGCATTGATTCCAATGCATAGATAGCAGTTTTAGCATGTTGACTTCGTTTCAGTTTGTATCTATTGAGAATGTGATGTCCATTACTTCATATCAATATTGATGATATTAATGATAAAAAGTAAAAATTTCTCCCAAAAATTAATAACCTTCTAATTATCCAATTTTCAGCTATATTTTTATGCATAATATTCAATTTTAGATTCCATCTACGTTTATATTATGATATGAATCAACTTAGGAATTCTAATTCGATTAGATTGCAAAACAATTTGTCTCATAACAGCATCAAAAATAATTAATTGAAAATATGAAAAAAAGAGCTTTCGCTTTTTAAAATTCATACTTTATATATAATTATTAATTTGACAATAAATTATTTCACGAAATGAAATTAGTAATGAAGAAATAAGAACAACTGTTATAGGAAAAAATCTTCCTTCTTCCTAGCAATTCGAATTCTGAATTATTTAAAATTTAAATTCAAAAATATTCAATTTTGAAAGTAGAAAGTTATTTTGATATTGCAATAATTTGTACTCACAACTAATATTATTTCATTTTATCTTGCTGTTATCATTACAACACTTATTTGTCAATTCAAAAATTTTGTGCAACCTAAAAGCACGAATTTAAATAAAATTCATAAATGAAAAAATTAATATAAAGAACAAATAATAAAAATAAATACAAAAAAAAACAAACATGACTATAAATTTTATATTTTGAAACACAATAAAAGAAGATCAAAATACAAATGACTGGAATAAATGAATCGATATTAAATACTCAAATAAGAAAAAATACATAAAACAAAACAGTGTTAATTCATAAAAAAATGAACCGTCCGCAAAATGAAGTAGCACATCAAAAAGAGCTGAATTGAAAGTAAAATAGAAAATTAATAGTAAATATTGCTGTTATCCTAACCATCTCTTTTACGTTTCAAGTTGTTATTTAATAATTATTACTTCATAATTGCTTTATTAGTTATTTATACAGAAATTTCAATTCCGAGATTTTTTTGCCATCAAAAATATATAAAATTGCCATAGATAATAGTAATATTACTTGAGCAAATCAATATTTTGCCACTAGAAAAAAAAACAAACAAAAATCACGAACTTATCGCCTCCTTTCTAAACGACGGAACTTATCACTCTTAAAATCACAAAGTTATCACCTATTATCAGGATGAATACCATATTTTAAAATGCATATCACATTTAACACCGCAACAACATGAACGACTTCTAAATTTTTTAAATTGCCCCATTAGCAAAATTCCTCGTAATTAAATGAAGCAATTTTTAAAAAGAATTCAATTTCATTTATTTCTATTGCTTGCAGTATTTTCCATTTGAGCAAAATTTTTGTTTCCATTTTTTCCAGCAAATTAAGTACGCCAAATTGATATTATGTCTTTGCTTTTTTGGCAACACGATACTCCAATATTATAACCAATCATCTGCTGCAATCTTCTTTATACAATAGAACCGATGATAACTGTCGATTCGAGAATAAAAATTTCAAATTCTATTACTTTTTTCAAACTTTTCAATAAATTGTATTTTACAAATATTCAAAATTAAAAAAATTTCATACAAAGTGATTGATATGCACCCATTTAATTCGTAATCATCATCTTATTAGAAAAGTTATTATTCCTCAATCATATCTTTTCTCTTTTCATGATCCCACTCAGCAGAACACTAAATGCACTACTATTTCTTAACCTATTATGCTAACATTTAACACAAACTCAAAAATAACAAAAAGAAAAAAAAGCCAAAAGAAATGCATGCATATAAAACAACAATAAAGTCTTCGCTTTGCTTAATTACAAATTAAAATGTTTCATTTTTCTTTTATAAATACTCAAAAAAACAAAATTATCGCTTTTAGTTATATGATTTGCTCTTGTATCCAAGTAGATAATCATATACAAGAGTATAACATAATTAAAACGCTATTATCATTATATCATACAGTTGAGTATCACTTCTAAGTATTTATTCTTTCTTTCCCGGAATCGTAATTTCTTTTAGTTCATCTCAAATGTAATCAGTAGATAATGATATATTAAATATCTGAGTATTTCTTTAACTTGTGGCTAATTTTTTTCCCATTTCTTATAATTCAGAAATTACTTCTCGAATATCGCAAGACTCATCAATCACTCATCTTTTTTGCAATCAAAAAAGATTATCGACAACAACAACCCAGAGTTATGTTATGAGATATCAAAAAAAACAATAATTCATACAATTTACTGCAGCTGCAACAGCATCGCGAAAAAATTCAGTATTTAAGGCATATTAATAGGAGCTTTATATCATATGTAAAACACCGCAATTTCTTGCATTTTTACGCTGTTTCCTACGAATACATTCATAGATTCATTACAAAGATATATAATCTTCAATCGAAAACCCAAAAAACAAGTATAAGAGTAAATAGTATGCCTTAAACACAACTATAAAAATATAGAAGACATTTAAACCTAACACCGTTTGCACTGTTAATAGTTGTCGTTCAGTCGAAATCTTTATCTTCAAGATATCGATATTCGAATGTAAACTGCTCCTTCTTCCGTTGGGACCATTTCTCATAATCGAAATAGACATAGGTGCCCTAGAAAAACTGCTAGCTTTGAACCAAAACTTCATTCCAGCGAAAAAAGAAAACTTTTTCCTCTTATATTATTCTACTGTATATACTATTCATTGCTACGACAAGTTTCCAAAATGTATCATTTCGTATAGAAAATGATGTTTACTATATGAATATTAAACAACAGATGAGCAATTTTACTCACTTTCCGGTTATGGAATATAAAACACTTGTAAAGAGACACAAAAACTTGCGTATATAGCTGACATCAGAATGAAAATAAGAAGGATTTTATCATTTTTTTCATCATAATTTATTCCATGTCATTAGCATAATCATTATTCGCCAAATGTTCAGCGTCACCATTTTTGAGTGATCTCAGTAGGAAAAGATATCATTAAAAATCAGTAAGACTTCCATTGTAACCTAAACAAAAAATAGGAATGAAAAATCTGTAATCTTACTTGTTCGTAATCATCAGTTATTTGCTTTGGTTCCTCATGTCGCTGGAACCACATCAAATATTTTGTATGAAATCGCCATGAAAGTTTTTTCAATGCTTTCGCAGCCAAAAGTTGTGCACGTGAACCCTAAAATTGAATAAAATTTTAATGACATAAAAAATGTAATATGACATAAAAATTATATTTCCATTATGACGAGTATAAAATATAAAATAAAATATATGAAAGGTCTATAATCAATTGACTACCCGTTACTTGAACAGTTGATACTGGTTGTTCCCTAGATCTTAGGGTCAAGCATTGAGATAACGCCAAAGAAGCAGGTATTTTTTTCTCGCTTCAATCAACGAACAAAACAAATTTTCATTGCATAATTTAATGTAATCCAAAAATATCTCATCTAATTTTATTAATCCATCGCGAGTATATAGATCTGAAAACGAGATGTTAAAATATATATAAAATAATATATTTAGGTGATTAACCTCCATATAATAAAATGCGAAGAAAAGTGTCTCTGGACTCAATCGGAGGTAGTATTCTAATGTATCCGCATTGATTAATGGAGCTTGCGGATAATAAGCTGCAGTGACGCATGGCATTTTTGGCAAATAACTTCGTGGCTTTTCGGAATCCATCGGTAATGGTGTTCGTGTCAACGCATGTTCTAATAATTTCAATTGCGTATCATGTTCTGGCATTGCCGGTGAACGACCTAATGGTGATGCACCAAGCCATGCTGGTATTACGGCCTGCATTTGAAGCTGAATTTCAGAAAACAAAAAATAAGAATTACAATAGAATGGAAGGATAAAGGAACTTATAGCTCAATGCAAACATCAACTATCAATGTTGCCTTTTCTTTCCAATCATTAATTCGTTGATCATTTTTGACTATCATTTGATTTACCTCGCCGTTTCCGATAATAGTTTAACGATAAGTGATAGAAATCGTATTTTTAAATTACTTCAAATTTCTTTATACATGTCATTTTATCTTAACAATAAACCTTCTCAATTGTATCATTTTTAAGATCAGATTTCTAATGCAAAAATCAGCTATTTTTATATTTGCTGTCGCCTTTCTTTTACGCAAACATCGTAAAATAGCTCAATAGTTTTTTCAGTAACGTACCTAAATAATTCTTGTCATTATCTCACTAGCTTGACTATAATTTTAAAAAGATTAGATTAGAAGGAAGCGTTAATTGAGTAGAATTCACTAAGTGTCACAAGTTTTTTGCTGCAATATTCAAGTACATCCTAATTTTAATCTTCATTACTATATGATCTTATGCTATCTGATCTTCATTAATCACTAGTTAGTGTGCTTTCAATAGCAAGACAAATTCATATAATACAAAATTAAAATGGTACCGATTGTGGCAAATGATTTCGTGAATCCTGAGTTGTGCTCATTCGTAACACCTGTCTCAGAGCATTCTGATCAATTTCATTTCCTGCGACATTATTTTGCAATGATACTGTAGCTGCATTTACTACAGATGCGGTTGCAGTTACGGTAACCATATTTAATGTATTATTCGTCTCACTATTCATTTTAGAAGTTACTAATGCCGTCGTAGAATGCGTCATAGTTGACGATGGCATATTTAAGGCTGTCGTATTCGTTATTGAATTTTGCAGTGATGTTGCCTGTGCTGCCATTGACTTCAGCGTGGCAATCTAAAAATGAATATTTCATAGCAAAATTTCATATGAAAAAATCAAATTAATAACAAAGATGATATAGGAAAGGAGTGTATATTGTCCAACATGCTTCCTTCCTTTAGTTATTTGTTTTGTATACCGTCTTTCATGATTTAA